GCCATTTGTCTGAAACGGTATAGGGTTTCCTGCCTAGGCAGGGGGTTGGACTAGAAGACCTCCAAGGTCCCTTCCAACTCTGCTATTGTATATTGTATAGATCCGTTCAAGGAGGGAATCAAGAAACAGAGTCAGGTTTTAACCTTGAAAACAGCGGCTACAATTTTATTTTTTCACTCTTGAACTTGGGACCCCGAATCACGGCTCTGTATCAGAGGAGGGCAAATCCTGGCTAAAAGTTCAGAGCTGGCTAACTCTGAAAGGGGTTTGACAGCATAAACAACGCTCTCGGATATTGTTTCTCAACCCCAGGCGTCTTTAAGATGGGTGGACTTCAACTCCCAGAATTCCCCAGTCAGCAATCTCTTCCTCCTCCCACCCTTAGGCAACCGAGGGCTGGGGCATCTGTGGCTATTGGTAGCGTCCCACGGTCATGTGACCACGGTTTACATTTTTGCAAAAAAAAAGGTATTTATTTCCACTTTTAGGCAAAAACAGCCCCCATCAATGACTTGCAACTGTGGCATTCACTTAATGGCCTACGGGCTGTGATGTCATGAAACTGGCTACTCGGTGACCTGTTTTATAACCATCATGGCTTACTGGGCAGGGTCCATTATGGTCATAAGTCGAGGACTTCCTGTAGCTCTTAGACAGTGCGGCTGCAAAGAGAATCAGATTAAAACTCAGAAAATCATTTTTGAGATATCTCTCTGCACAAGAGGTTAAATACGCTTTGATTGACAATCAAGCCGGACAGCGGATCACGTACTCAGTTTACTGGATTGTGCAGAGTTGAGAATAGTTGCGGTGAAACTGACCGGAGCTGGGAAACTGTTTCTGTCGCCTCCTCCTTCCCCCCCCCGCCCCACTTTGCTTCAGGGCCCTGCCCTGCTTTCTGTCAGTAATGAAATTGGCAAGGTTACGGTCACAGATAAGAACACACCTTTCCTCGTGTCCCTGTCCATTTCCTTCCCCTGTTTTGTCAGCTCTCTGATGCCACTGACAGTGCAGGCGCGTGGCCTTGTCAGTTTCACTGGATAGATATGTCGGTGTGGGGCATCAGGACGCATCTCATTTTTCCAGCTTCCTTCTAAAGCAGCCCAGGACAAGTGCATAAAAAGGGAAGATCCTTTGATGACCCACAAGTTACATCCGGCCCTTCGGCTGTCCCTGTCTGGCCCACAGTGGCAGGAGTGGCCTTGGCAGGGTGGCATCAGCATGGCTGCAGAGGGAAGAGCATCGTCAGCAGGGGCGGAGCATCCGCTGCAGAGGGTGGAGCTTTAGCAGGGGTGGGGCATCAG